AAGCAGTGCAGATGTCATCAGTCGATGTGAAAGTTAGTGTTCTTGTCTTTCCAGAGAAATCTGCAGTCAAGTAATGGACCCAGTAGCTTAGTCGTCATGGGTGATTGTCAGCCTAATGTTTATCTCCGATAATTGTTACCACTTCTTACTGTCTCTTATCAAGAATTTGTAGTTCTATTAAAGTTAATTTACAACATTATCTGATCAAACTCGAAAGAATGAACTGCTCGGGTCTCGGCCAAGCAGAGTCCGACTTGATACAATGGCAAACTTTTGTGAACCGTTTCATTAGGTGCTTCTTTAATTTGTGCCATGCTTCACATTTTCAGGCACTTTGTGTTATCTATGACACTATTAATAAGAATACTAGGTCAAGCAAATTTTCAGAACAGCTCACACTTTCACAGTTCAATACCGATAATGGCTGACCGGCTCGTCACGATACACGTGTGAGCGATAAGATGATAAGATATGGCCGAGAAATCCATTAACATGGCGGAGGCATTTAGTCTTAATGATATAAGGGACAATGAGCACTGTGCCAGTGAAGTGCGAAGACGGGTTTGAGCCCCGTACACGGTCAAGGTTTGGCCCATAACTCACGCCAAGAACTCCTGGGATTGTATGTTTTCGATTCTTCACTACTGAAAGCACAGCTCTTATTGGGTCCCACTTTCTGCGCAATCGAATTGGTCTTATTCTTGGAGAAAGCCGTTTTACGATTAAGTTCCCTACCAGTCACCCTTTGATTAGCTTTAGCTGCAGTGATTCTTCCCTTTTCTTAACTGCTCTGTACTGATGTGGGACAACTTGGCCAAAGTTGGTCACTGTGGTCCTGTTCTGAGAAGTTCCTTAGAGTTTCATCATGATTCTGAATTTCAATGAAAATTTTCTACATTTCGAATCTGTCTATCGTGAAACCCTTGCAGAAAGAAAGGAATGGTGTAATGGTAAAGTAAAAGACTCACTTCTCGACCTTCCTGTAGCTGCTGCTCTATGTAAGGGTATAGGTCTTGGCTCTTCCATCTGAAAATGATCTTTAGATTTTTTCAAAGCTGAGAGAGGATGAAGAGAGTAGTTTTCTGTCATGAATGATAGATGTTAAAAAAACTACTCTCTACTAGATTGTCATGGAAGACGGGAAATGGACATACTCGCCTCTTTAGCATCCTCATGAGAGCTAATTTCAACGGCCTTTTTCTGTGAGCCATAGCCTCCTTCAGAATCCTCCACTGAGTTACTGTCCTCCGGTGAGCTATCTTCAGGAAACACCATTGGCGGAGCTGGAGGACGCACAGACGAATCCGGTGGTGGAGGTGGGGGAGGAATCGATGTCACTGGAAATAATCCGAATGATAGCATTTGACTAATCCTCTGAAGTGAAGGTATTGTTCGATTTTGCACCTTTGAAAAAAATAGAATTTGAAAGGCAGATTAGTCCTAAACCCTTAAATACCACTTTCAACGCTGCGCTCCCGGGATTTCACCTGAATCCCGGTTATTAGTAGGCAGATTCCTACAACAAAAACTCTTTAAGGGGTGACTCCAGAGTGCTCTCTTGATAGAGGAACCCTACCAGGGTCTAAGTGAGCGATCCATCATAATAATTACAAAAAAAACAACAAGAAAAAAACGTTCAGACTCACGGGTGTACTCATCGGATGGATGCGATTTCGGTACGTACGGCCGAACGTAAAGATGATTTCTTTCAGGATAGTTATTAATCTTATGATACCTTTGAGGATAACTGCCAATCTTGCTTCGAACTCGTGTGGCCCCTTGGCCCCTTGAGTCATAGTACTCCTGCCATCGACGATTTACATACTCCAGAGCATCTGGATACCATATAGTATAGCCGCCAGGGTAGGGTGAATAAGAAGGATAGGATGAATAGGAAGAATAGGTCGGCGAATATGAATAGTATGAAGGTGATGTATATCCCAAAGAGCCATAAGAGCCATAAGAGCCATAGGAGCCATAGGAGCCATAATAGCAGCAATTAGTCCAAAAGCTGATTACGGTCACTACGAAAGATAGTAATAATATTGACAGTATCATTGAGCTCTGTTGAACAGTTATCGATAATGGCTTTATATCAATTCATCGGGTTAGCCTTGAAAAATGGTATGTATTGATAGAGTATCACTTACTACAAGGTCATCAGTGCAAACGAGTTTGACTACACTGTTTTTGTTTTTGTTTAAATATCTCTCATCATTGCTCCCTATCGATTTTCACTGGATTCCTTACAGACTCGCCACATAGATACAGCCTTCTTTTCTACTTATCAATCTTTATATAAAACTCAATTCAACGAGTTACCCCAAGGCAGGAAAACCCCTCCAGTGACAGCCAAAATTTAAGGGTAGATAGAGGTTAAGAGGTCTTTTTTTTACTGAGACTCCACTTCTCTGGCCTGAATAGACCTGATGCTTCCTGGATAAAAAAAAATGCGAAAATGAACGAGATGGACCTGTGCCTTCGAATTGGTTTGTGCAGGAAAGGTCATGCCAAGCTACAGGAACTTGAGACGAATGGCTTTTAGCGAATCGGAACCACGAGAATGCGCTATGCTTCGTAGTACATCAAGATCAATCTGCTTTGGAACTCCTGTATCTGAGCTATAAGTTGTGTAGCAAATCCTGTGGGGATGATTCAGTGGTGAGATATCTATTCATATACAGTACCGGTCAGTGAAGTATGCGTTTCCAATTTTTTGAAAAGTAACATCCGCAAATTTCAACCTTTCGGCGGGAAACTTAAACAGTAGGTAACTTGAACAGTTAGTAACCCAGTAACTCAACTCAGACAAACTCATCAAGTCCATGCCACGCCGATTTAAGCAATCATTGACTCTGAAGGTTATGCTACAAAGCATTGATGTTTTACTTGTAAAATTTGCTCTTATGCAAGTTGTTGCGCTGAGAAATTTAAAATTAAGGCAGATTGAAGTTTCACTGGTGTTACAGGGCTTAACCTTTTTTTTGACTAAAGTCTTCTGAAATATCTCACAATTAACTTAGGCAACTGAAAACTCGCTCTCTGATTACATGCAGAGATAGGCATCCACAGTGAAGAAACCAGATGTAAAGATGCTGTTTTAGAGAGGTTACGATTGAAAAAGTGAAAACGCATACTCCACTAACCGGTACTGTATTTCTGATGTTCACAAATCAGTAAAAGCACCAAAAGCAATACAAGAGTAAGATAGCTAAACGAATAAACCGATACACTATCCCTGCAGTTCTTCGAGGTCAAGTGCGGGCGGCCTGCCTGGCTTCGTTTTCCACCCACCCTGTACTATCACTTAAAGCGTGGGAGTTTGGTTAGGGAGCCGACTTAGAGACTGAAACGATCAGAGATTATGAGGGACCGTCGAAGTTGCGGTAGAAGCTCAGCAAAATCTTTCTGGTATTTACATTGGACGGCAACGGACCAGAATAAATTGAATTAATCTAGACTACTTCCCTTAATAACAGCCTTGATTCATGTGCCTTAGGATTCTCGTTGATACCAGGATAAAACACATTTCTGGATCATAATGATCAGGGACTAGAGTTAATAATTCAATTGAACTAAATTTCGTAATGTTTGTAGAGACCCGCTGAACAGATGACTGTAATAAAAGCTGGAACTTCCATCACAACGGCTTTGTTCTCAACAATTGAATAAAAGAATATAAAAAGGATCAATCCTCAAAGTCAGTCATCAGTTCAGCAGAGTTCGATATGTTTTTCTACATCGTCTGCGCACTTTTGCTGCTCAACGCCTTCACTTCTGAAGCAGCATCTTTTGTAAGTTGTCAGGTTACAGAGTGGAAATCTTTCTCTGAGAGAACGGTGGGCACTAAAGTGTTATCCTGGTACGGCAAGCACTGCTATGGATTGAATCCAGACCCAAACTCTAGGACAAGGTCTATCTTCATTTTATATAGAACGATAGACAGTATACCAGCCCTTTTAATGAAATGAAATATTTGGATTCCCTCTTCGTCCTAAATTAGACCAATCTTACATTTATATGACCGATTTCCATTGCTACCTTACTCAGTGTCACAATGTAGTGACGTCCTGCATGGATATTGAATGCATGGCGCAATCCAACAGAGACGGATCGTTACCACATTCCTGAACATAGTTTTGAGACAAAAAAATTTAAGTTATGCGAGGATGCGGGCGGTGAACAGTTCTGCTTGGGCCCAAAGCATGCAGGAATGTGCAACCAACCGGACTTCTACAACATCGCTGAGACCTACTGCTCTAAGACATGTGGTATTCACACACAATGGTGATTAGTTAAAAGGGCTTAAAAAAATAGAAAATCCCTGGAAATTTAGTTTTGTTATGATTATTTGTGATTTCAACAGCACTCCTACCCTGTCCAAAACGTACTGTGTATTTGCCGTTGAACTAGGAGGAGTGAACTTGAAGTATAGAGTGCTTATGCATTTACAAACAGGCTCATGCCGATGCCAACGTTGAAGCTTGTAATCAGCTTGGGACGCCACGACAGATAACAGTGATACCAGTTTTGATCATAGTCACACAATTCTTTCGAGCAAAAATTAATTTTGATTGCTATAATCTGATACCTTGAATGTGTAAGGTTATAATCACATTCGAAAATCGGTCCGTCTATTCTACAGAGTACTGTGTAACCGGCTGAGTGTATCCATTGATTCGGCGAAGGGATTGTGTACTTTTGAAAAACCATAATTCATGTTTCCTTGCACCTAGACCATTCGAATTTGGTAGATGTAGAGACTGCAGGATGGGAACTTCAGTGGTTAGTCATAGAAAGTAAGTGAGCTGGACAAAAGAGTAAACTCGAAATCATGAATCCTTTTCTCATAGAGCATCTGAATTCGGAGGAATTCGGAAGATAACTTTAACATGGAAATGAAAAGACCCCAGCGTGAGCCGAGCTCTCCGACTATTCAACGTTTGCTAGGAAACTTATTGCTCATTCTATTATCAATTCGTAGGGGTAGCGGCAAGTGGTGCCTTGTCATACAAATGCATGTTTGCTTCGAAACCCGAATTAATACACATCATTGCCGACCGGGATTTATGTTCTTACGGGGTCGGTCAATTGGTAGCAGATCTATCCAGGACAAAAACAGGAGCAGGAGGATAAAAACACCGATTTCTGCATCGGCTTACATTTCAGCTCAAGTTCTGACAAAGGTTTGAACTACTATATGAGCACTCTGCATTAGATGGTGCACGAAAAAGCGATTTTTAGCTTCCTCCCCCTGATTCTTCGAATTTCTCGAGCTAGCGTAAGCAACATCTCTGATCGTCTCCGTTGCATGCCAATGTGATCCAGGAAGTCCTGTTCGGGTGAGAAACGCGAGTCACACCACTCTTTTTGCCCCGAGCTTCTATGAAGAAGTCTGATAATCAAATGGCGTCGTCCCGAGAGATCCAGTAAGTAACCGGCCTAGTCCGACGGGCATCACAAAATCGCTTCTTTTTTTCCGTTCAAGATACAACCACTGAATTGAAGACTGAAATAAGGAAAGCGAGATCAACAATTTATTTGATTCTGAAAGGAGTTATAAGTTTAAGACAAAGCTGATAACGGTGTACAATGTTCTGAATCAGTAACGTAGTCTCGTTGAAGTTTGTAGAAGAAGCAAGCGATGGAGTTAGTTTTATAGCTAGGGGTCGTGGGAAAAGCCACACATCCTGCGTCCTTAAAGGTGAAAATTGTCAGATAACTCTTGTACAACTATTGTGGAAAACAATATATCGTGTCTACGGCTTACTTACATAGTTATATTTAATTCCAGACGGGTACAGATTGCTTAACATAACTATATCTCATATGTGATACACTATCATATAGTGTACTGTATCACAAGTAAATTACTTCACCTTTGGCTAAATCCAAGAGCATGCTCCTGAACTCGTCATGTTAGTCCTAATCCTCATCAGTTACCCTATACTGAGGACTATAGTCCTTCATATGGTAACTGATGAGGATTAAGTCTCTCACAGTGAACGGTTGACGGCACGAGTTGAAAATTAGTAATGCTCAATCGAACTCTCAAAAAAAAAACACTGGAACGTACCGAAAGGTATCCGACGTATTTGCAATTTTTGATGAGATAGCACGTTTCCAAGCAGTCGAACAGGGAAGAGGAAGAATTCTCATAGATCGTGTCCGCATAGTCAAACCTTTTTGTCAGACATTGTTGGATGAAGGTGCAGGCAGGTGCTTGAGTCATCTGAAACGAACCCCTCCATGCGCCTCAACAACCCTAAAATTGCTGGAGTCTTCAATTTCTTCTAGCTACAAATTGCAAAAATGGAGACAGTATTCAGAATTGTTTCAAACATTTACAGGATTGTCATTACAAGCCATTAAGAGGGCGAGGGCAAGCGGGGTCTGATTAGGCTTAAGGGATAAGAACACGGTCCCCGGAAAGGACAAGTACGGGTTCGAGTCCCGTCCGAGACTGAAGTTTTGTCCATAAATCGCCAATCTTGTGAGTGACTCACGGGATTATTTAGCTATATTTTGATTGATTTTGATTTTATAATTCTAGCATTTCTCCTCACTGCTTCACATATTTATGTTAATTTTTCAGTACTAGTAGGGGAAAAGGATCCTCCACGTGATAGCCCAATCGACCTTCTAAGCTTCCCCAGAGGCTAAAAGGTCCGTATTAAGGACTTCAGCAGAACAAATCCGCTAGATTTGTGCTGTTCTGTAAGGGGGGCAGGTTCGAGTCCGGTCCGCGGTTGAACGTTTTGTGTGCAACTCATCATCTTCATGATATCATAACAGTCATCCAGGTTTTAGTCCTAATCTGATTTGATCCGTTAGGGTATTATCTGTCAAGGGAAGTTGTGTTTAATACTGTTCCTTATGATGGTTTTGAGTAAGCTGCCGAAATCTAGCGAGAGAGAAGGAATCATCTAGACATAAACAGTAGAGCATACCTGCAGAATGAAGGCGAACAGTGCAAGCGATTCCTTTG